AGCTGTTCGAATCTGTTGAAAATCTCGTTTTGGCCGAATAATAATAAACGCTGTTTCCTTCCTATCGAAACAGCGTAAATACGTTTCCTTTGTTACCATTCAATGGGGTTGTCCAAGCGCTTTGGATAACGCGACATTCCTCACCGATATCGAGCTAATTTAGCCGGGTCACTCCTGGTGATTTCGAGAGGAGAGGGAGGATCACGGGTGGACGAGGAAGAGGAAGGAAGTTTTATTGTCCGCCGCGTAATATCGCCGCTGCGAGAAACACGATTTCCTTTGAGCCGCTACCTTTCGAGCAACAGAACGCTGTTAATATATCGAGAGAACGAGCTACATGACAAACAGGTTTCTCGTGGCGTTGTACACTGTTAGGAAGCCATTGAAGCGAGCGGTGCCAAGTTTCTGTGGCAGGTGATAACGCGAAACCGAAGATTTTATCGTGGAGACGTCGCGAATTCACCCCCCCCCTCCTCCTCCTTTCTCTCATGCGATCGATCCCTTTCAATCTCGAAGAAAATTAAAAATCTCCAACGATTTTTTAAAATTTATCCCCGCAACTTGCCTCATCTTATTATCCATTTAATAATTCTGAAACAGAATTGGAAAAGTTGATGTCTCTCGAGGAGGATTCGACGCTTAATGAAAAGAAGAACCGTCGAAAAATAACGGTCGAAGATCTACGAAGTTTCTTTTCTTCGGGAGATTTCGCGTTTCGGTAAGCAGGGAAGGCGAATATTGGAGGGGGAGCGCGGTTTATTTAAATTTCCATTGCTATTTATGGGTCAGAATGCCAAGGCCATGCCATGCGGCAGGGGATCGGGTTGTTCGCTCGGTGTGGAAGCGGAGGATGAAACGGAATTACTATTCTAATTGGCAGCATGAATTAACCATACGTCGGCCGGGGCGGCGAAGAAGTTGAAGGCGGAGGCCGCGCGCGGATCACGTGGGTACGAAAGAAAATTGCAAACACGATTAACCGCAATTACGGTAATGACGACGCTAAAGATCAGATATAGGCGGAATGGTTGGCCGGCACACGCGCGCATGCGCGAGCGAACACACGCGCATGCGCGTGTACGTACACCGTGTCGGTTGGAAAAACACGGAGACCATAACGGGATCAAAATCGATGCGCGTAAGTTCTAACAGCGGCCTAAAAGTGGCGCAACGTGGCAAGGACCGCAGCCGTGAGACCGACGGGCAAAATTCATTAGTTGATTTTCGATAATTTATTCGAAAGGTATAATAACGATTGGAAATAATTGTAAATGGCCGAGAAAAGTATGTCGATTATAACTAAGCTAATGTTGTTGGAGCATTTTAACTCCGAGTAACTTTGCTCGAAATTTTCAACTTACTTTTCCAATGGCGTATTCTTTCTCGCTTGATTATGAATCCGATTGAGGTTAGAAAATTATTTCAAATTGTTATTCGAAGCATCGAATAAGCGAAATATAACACAGTTACGAATCCGTTGATACCCGATTGAGAAAGATTTTGAAAAAAATCATCGGTCGGTAAGTCAGATTAGATCTAATTTCTATCTACGGTAGAAATAAATACGCGATTCTTGTTATCAATCCTCGATCTTAATTTACCGTAGCATTTACGCGACAATTTGCATACCAATAAACGCGATAAATTTCGCTTATTACGATTCAAAAAGGAAAAAATCGATATTATGAAAATTATATATGTAAAAACGCTTCGTTCCAATCCCTACCGTATCGAATCTTCTCACCGTTTCTATCCCATACCAAACTCGTTTCGAGAGATAATCTCTATTTAAGAATTCGTGTCGATCGGTTACAATTTGATACAAGATGTTGGCCGATCTACAACGTATTCCCCGATATGTTTTCGAGAAACGTATTCTCGAGGGGAGACGCGTGATAAAAGAAGCGACGAGGAGTTAATGAAGTGGAGACAAGGCATCCCGTGCTACTCGTAACCATAATCACGGTACGGATTTTTTCACACGGAATGTAACAACTTCCAATTCATTTGTACGATTTTTACAAAAAGTTGGTATTTCCATCTTGGCCGTCTTTCTTTCTATCTCATCCGCGAGACACATTTACTTGGTTTCGTTTGGAAGGAGATCGCAATTACTCCGGAGTCCAAGATAGGATATTGCACGCGTAATTTATTCACCGTCCTTTTAACGACTCGAAACCCGGCCGGTTGAGCGCTCGTTTTCCGCTTAAATCGTCCGTCTCTGGATTTGCATCGATCGTGCAATTTTCACCAACAGGCCCACGTTATTGGCCAACATTAGGATGGACACCCAATCGCGTTATTAATTCCGACCAAGGATATCTTAACTGCGCGTAATTAAGCGGAGGAATCGAGCGTGTCGCTCGTCACCTCGTAACGAAAGATGATAAGAAATTGACGGGGAAATTAATGTTTCTCTCTATTTCCCCCCCCCCTCCCCTCTTCTTTCTTACGTTCAATCCTGCGAGTGTTTTTAGCCGATCGCTCTAAAAAGAAAAAAAAAAGAGATATTTTACTAAAATCGAATCACGATACTGGACAATATAATATTTTATAAATTACAAAAAGCATACAAAGTATATGAAAATTTATATTTAAAACTTTATCGCTATATTCAACATTTTGTTCAACGCGCCTCTTTCTCGAGGAAGAAGTAGAAGGCTCGTTTAGGGGAAAAAATATACTTTGAAAGAATGACTCGATAATCAATAAGAAAAATAAAATGAAAATAAGTAACGTACGTTCTAATTCTAAATTATATTACCAAAGTGATATTCTATTTCAAAAGATTTTTTTATCGTGTTATTATTTATTTTACTTTTATTTTACTCGTATATAAGCCGCTATTTGAATAAAAATTAACACATTGTTCGTATTACTCGCAATTAAAAGAAGAAAAAAATGGAAAAAAAAATGGAGGAAGGGTATCGCGCTAAGGAAGGAAAAAATCGCTTGTCTCTTACGAAACTTCGAGGACGGAACAATTTATCACGAACGAATTACATGCAAGCTGAGCTAAGATTTAAGCGCACGATAGATAACCGTTCACCGAGAAAGAAAGAAAGAAAGAAAGAAAGAAAAAGAAAAAAACTTGTCGGTGCAAATTGTCGTGCGCCTGGATTCTAATTAAAACCCTGTTTCGAAAAGGTCGTTGTTTCGCCCGTTGAGGAGGAGTTGGTTGGCCAGCAGGCGAGGAACGGCCACGATATAATATACCGTTCGGTGTGTTTACACGCAGGCACGAAAATTGTAGGGAAAATGATGGTAGGGTAGGCGTAGGTATGCTCGGTCGGGGGCAGGTCGTGTCACAGAGGAGTCGGCATCCGCCACGCCTCCCTAACGATCGAAATTCATTTCCATAATTATCTCACGATCTTCGCCTCGTCTCGTCGTCGCACCGCGACGATAAACGCTTCGACCCAATTCGAAGACACGGGGTGTCTTATCGAGGCGTGCGAACCGAAGTTCGAGGTTAAATTCCGCGTAGATTATCGTAATGCACGTGTAATGTAAGTAGACGGGTTATTTTCTCAATGGGCTCGTGATTATTGCGTAATTAATCCGTTGCGGATTTCCACACGACGCGGATTACTACGCGAGCTCTCCTTCTTTATTCCAACTGGATTCCATTGTGCATCCAGGGTGTTGTTGTCGATGGCTCGAGAATCCTCGGTCCTTATATTTTCCACTTATTCCGTTTCGAACGCTTTACACACACCGGATTGTAAATTCTTGGAGCGGTTGATCGGCAATAAAGGCCGGGGAATGCGCGTGGATCGATGCAAAACAATAAAGGGCGTTAAAAGCAAGCGAGAAAGGATCGGTGGAGGGCGAGAAAGGGAGGTTGCGGGCAATTAAAGTATCCGAGGAGGAGGAGGAGGAGGAAGAAAAAAAAATAGGATTCTCATTAAGGAAGCCGGTTTCGACCAACTCGAAGAGAATTTCGCTACGTAGCCTGATATATTCGCGAAACGTGTCTTACATCGCAACGCTTTTCCACCTTGTCCACCGTGTTTCTCGTTTTAATTGTGCACGAGGGGGGAGGGGGAGAGCCGAACTCTCCTGGAATCCGCTGGCGTTCATTCGTTATTCCCTTGGCGGAAAAACAAGGAGGATTTACGCGGACACCCGCGCGGTATGGCGCACCTTGTGTGCGTGATCAATGTCTCACGTACATTTACATTTATCCGCCAACCCTCATGATTGCAAATGTACTGTTTAGCGTGTTGCTTCGCCGCGTATGGATCCTTCTTCCTTTTCTTTCCTTCCTTTTTTTCCTCTTTATCTCTTTTTCCTCTTTTTCCACCTCCCTTTCTTTCCACCATCTGATCTCCTCCGCCTCCGCTATTCAGAAACGTGGCACCGTACGTACGCGTATCATCAGCCATAATATCGGTTTTTCATAACGGGCCCGGTAACACGGCTTTAAATCCTTGCCTCTTCGATCCATGGTCATGCGCATTAAATTCACCGAGGACGCGGGATTACTTATAATTAAACCTGCCGGGTAACGCGCGCGTCTCTCCTCGTGTATGCGTGTCTAAAGATCCTCGAAAGCGACATGCGATCTTTTTTTTTCTCTTTTTCTCTCTCTCTCTCTCTTCAACTCTCGGTCGGAATGGTTGTTTGCAGTATGTTACGTTTAAGATGCGGTAACGCACTCCCGTAACTTGTACATACTCCCGCGTGTTGCATCTTGCACGACAAATTAACGCGGAGGACGATACTGTAGGAAGATTCTTTTTCTTTACTTCGAAGATCGATTGAATAGATTGAAAGGTACAGGAATCGTTTGGATAAAATCGATAAAGATATTGGATTATATACAAAATAGTTCTTGTTGAAATAAACAACATTGTTGTTTTTGAATATACAATATTCGATCGTTTATTATCTGTATAATTCGCTAGATTATGATTCGCGGAACGAACGATAGAGGGGGCTGGTGCGAACATCGATCACCGCGCCACGCGTTTTCGTACGTATCGAAAATTAGTTGGAATCGAAAAGTCGAGGGCGCGGTAACTGCGATTATCGCTCGCGGCTGTCGCGATTTTATTAGTGAACGCGTGTGCAAAACGTGAAACCAGTTTCTCTCCATAGGAAAGAAAGAGTCGATACAGATACGGGGCAATATTTCTACAAGGTAATACACTTAACGTAACGCGAAACGAAGCAGAAAAAAATAGGGTTGATGCAATAATGCCGCGTGACTTTTCGTCGTATGCCCCGTTGCCCTCGGTACTTACACTTTTATCCATCCCCGACGTATCTTTTTCTCCGAGCAATGCTATCGATAATAGCGATCTAAACCTACCGTTTTCACAGAAGCGAACGTACGATCGAAGAAACGGTTGTACGATTAACGTTATTCTTGCCAAAAATTGCAACGCTATCGCTTCTCGAATTCCAGTGTGCGCACGCACACCACCGAGGTGCGCACATCGAAATGCGCACGTTCCGCGAGGCGGTATCAACGCGCGAACGCGGCCATAATGCACGCTCACGTAAGGTACAGCCGAGTTCTTCATTATCGTCAGGGGCCTAAATTGCGTGGGCGTACCTATACCTTCGTACACGTTACTTACCTTGATGTACTATACCTAGTACCTTGTACGCACACACTGTTACGATCGCGTAGGGACGCGCGTTCGTTGAATACGCGCACAAATCCGTAGCCACAGGTTCGAGTGGCGAACGGTGCCGAAGTTGGTCGAAGCCGGCCGAACGCCGCGAAGCCGGTTGTCGCGCTCCTCGCCAGATGCGATGTCGAGTCAGTATCGCGTCAGTCCTCCAGCGGAATTGGTCAGTGATCTGTGTCAGAGCAGGGCCAGTCGTCACTCTCCTTTTCTCTCCGCCGGTTATTTCGTCTTTTTCCCGACATTTTCCCGTCCGGCGCACATCGAAATACGAAACGGTGGTTTCACGTGATTTTCTCGTATTTGTCGCCTCGGCTCGCGAACGCATCCCCTTTTCGTGGTCTCGGGAATATACGCCCGGTATATCTACGTATACTTGTAGCAGTTAGATACGTATAGTACACATACAGTAATACAGTGCCATAGTGGAGTTACCAGTGGGGAAAACAAAAATTAGTTTGCAAGCGGACGTGCCTCACGGCGACCGTCGTTCACCACGTTCTGGATCGGAGGCAGTGGGAGCAGGTGAGTGGAAATTTTAGTTGGATATCCTTTTCGTAGCGACGTGTCCAATCGACCTTATGTCCCGGAGGGCCAGCTTGCTTCACCGGGTTTCTTGGAATTTTTGGCGAATTAATAGGGTAACGGAACGTCTCTCCATGTTCGATCGAGAAAACGGTTGATACGAGCTTGTCCGAGGCTGAGTGATTGTACATCCTGGAGACCGATCGAGTGTTTTTACCACTCGATCTATTAAAGATCGTCGTACGGTAGATAGATTCGTAATTACACGGTTACACCGATATTAAATCCGGTTAAAAGAATTAAACCGATATCGGAGCGATTAAACGATTAAAAGTTTATTTATTTCATGATCGGAACGAATGGCGTCCCATTTCTGGAGACCAAGGTTATCAATATAGACCATATAGTTGAGCAACGCAATACGATTCGTACGATTATCGCTACCACAGTTTCCACGTTTCACGATTGGGATCGTTCCCGAAGAAAGGCACACGCTCCATTGTTACAATGTCGAGTCGTCGTCGAAAAACGATAAAGAAAAAAAAAAAAAAAAAAAAAAAGAAACTTTCTTCGTAATCGTTGTGTTCGTCGTCTTCCACGAAACGTGCGGCAACCTTTTCGTTCATCGTGATTCATGTACATTTCATAGTGCCGACCCCTCCGTGTTCCCCTTCTGAGTTGATGGGCTCCGAAACATTCTATGCGCTCCATTTGTTAGCGTCATCTTAAAAAAATGGCGGTCAAAGGGGCAGAGACTTCTCCCACAAGATGATCGTAAATCGAGACTGGTAAGTCGTTCTTCTCTTCTTCGTCTCCCTTCTTCTTTTTGCCCTTTTTCTCGCCGATCCCTTACCGTTAGTGATTCGTCCTACGAACGGGGGAGCGTGTTGATCGCCGTCGAAATTTATACCCTTGAATGCCTGCATTCTAGAGTACCTGTGTTCTCGAATATCCGTGTTCTCTTCGATACCTTGATTCGCGAGTACATAAATTCTTCGGGTAGCCGAGTTTGCGAGTACTTAACTTTTCCAATACTAGTCTACGAATTGCCAATTTTTTTGGAAATATCGAGTACATATTCGAATATTTTTCCACATATTTTGAATTCTTATTTCTCTTTATATCCGTTTGTATCCGCTTACTGCTTGAATTCTTTTATGCTTTTTTTAATAACTCTTGAAGATATTCAAATATTTAAGTATCCAATTTCCAAGATTTAATAGAAGAAAGTGGCTATATTCGCACGATCGAACGAGACGTATAATTTTGCTGTCTCATTATATCAACACGTTACAACTCTGTTGAATAATGTTGAATCGTCTCTTGCACCGATCAAAGACGAGCCTAATTATTATAGTAAATATATCGCGTCAAGCCATATTGTTCGATCCGTTACAACCCCGCTCGACGCGTTATTCCCATTTTTCTCGCTCGATCCACGCCCGATATTAGAATATCGCAATTACACGTTACTATTATTAACTGTTAATACTCGGACGAACTGGTTTGCAAATCCGGATCCTCGTAACGTTGCCTCCCTTGCGGTGCACCGCTCGAAGCGTGTCTCCGCCACGTAACGTATTCAAAATGCTATCTAACATAACATCTACATCCCTGTTTTCATACAAACTACACCTTCTCGATTTCGCGGATCCCTTTGAGCCAAGTTCGCGGACAATTTCACGCAACGCGTTTCCAACGTTGCTCCTCGCCAAGGGACGAATAAAAAAGAAAAAAACATTACATTATTTTTCATCAATCGCATATTTCGTTCGAATCCGATAATTCTTTCTTCCCTTCTCTTTTCTTTCTTCTTTTTAAATAACTCAATTCAACTATCCGCATTGTTCGAAGGCTATACGTGTCATTTCTTTTTTCTTTTTCAGAATTCTTTTCAGATATAGCAAAAAAAAAGTAACAATCCACTCAATCGGAATCGTTCGTCGCTCCAAGGCTAAACGTATCATTTTTCCCCCCTTTTTTCTTTTCCTTCCAGAATGCATTCGTTCTCTCTCTCTCTCTCTCTCCTTCCTCCTCCGTTTCGAAACACCTCTTTCTTTCCACGAGCGATTTTCCCGCGGTTCCCCTCTCTTTGCTCGAAGCGGACAATGGCCCGCGAGGTTAAAATCGAATGTGTGTCACGTTCACCGGCCGCGTCGATTAGTAATCGGAGCGCGCGAGAGGCAATTACACTTGAAAAAGTCAATGTTACGCTGGAAGGTTTCGTACGGGTTGCGTAACCGCCTGTTCCGGGTTACGCCCGATTGTGTCGCTTCTTCCAACATTTCGATTCGCGCAATCCTCTTTCTCCGTGAGCACTTATACGACTCTTTTAAGCTCGGAATTTTAACATTTAAATTTTGGTCGAGCATTATGATTTTTTCGAGAGATCGATCTTTTTCAACGGAGATCGAGGTCTAGATACCAGAGTTATCGATCGAAAGATAAATTGCGGAATCGTGCCGTTTATCGTCTTAATTAAACCGATTGTTTTCGCACCACTTCTCCCGTGGCACGTATTAAACTTTTCTTCCAATCCTTGAGAAACAATTTATCCACGATAATATTATCACCGCGATAATATCTCGTTATCGTTTCATCTTATCTCCGTAAAAAATCTGTTGGCGCATCGTCGTAGCGTCATTATCTTAATCTTTTATAATCTCGTAGAAAAATCCTGGAAAATTTCATTCCTTAGAAGTTAATTCCCCGAGAAACAATTTTCGAAATTATTTAATGGAACTTAAGAAGCCTGTTCGAAAGAGGCGATCGCACAGAGGGAACACCATAACTCGCGATCACAGTTATGATCGCGCGAACGGATAGCCGCGACAATGGTGGAGATTGACGCGATGTCGCGATAGGTGGCGCACAATACGCCTTCCTTATCCGGCGTTATACGCGTAATTTACCAAGGTTATTTACTATACAATTAGATATCCCTTGCCATGTATTACCGCGGGTATACGCCGCATGGTAATGGGACCCGCGAGTCCCATCACCGCCGGTCCACAGAAATCCCAGAGTTTTTCCACCGCCGGCCTGGCGGCATAATACACGATACACACGGTGTAACGAGGTATGTAATGGGTAATAATGCGTAATGATATAATGCGTACATTCCGCGTATACGTACGTCTCTGCGTATAACAAACATTGTTAGCCGTGGACTCGCCGTAAAAGGGCGCTGCTGCCATTCCTTGCTGCCTCCCTTCATGACATCCCTCCCTCCCCACCTTGTTCTCGCCGTGGCTTCACTGTGGCACGCGCGCCAAACCCCGATATAACTCGTTGTCCGACGAGAAAAGTGTCGAATTTTATTCACGATATAGAGAGTAACGAGTCAAAGTCGAATACTAATTCCGCCGATTTTAACGCTAAACCTACCACGCGCGAGCTCAAATGAATTTCAAAGTTACTGTATCGCCGTATGACTTTTTCTATCATGTTAGATTTTTCAATATTCACAACTTTCTCTATTGTTCACTTTACGAATCCAATTAGCTAAAATCTCTTTCTATATTCGTAATGTTTTTTTTGCATTTGGCCGCTCGTGGTAGGAATAGGTACACGTGAAATGTGGGTAGGTTTAGTGTTAAGGAATGTTCGCGCGGTGCTTGATCCTCTTGAGTTTCGGGTGTCACAAGATCGTCGTTCCCTTTGTCGGTCGGTTGCAAAAGTAATTTCGTTTTCTTTCTTTCTCTCAAGGCGATCACGAATGACGATTGACGAGTTTCTCGAGTCGGGTTTCGTCAGATTCAATCGTGGCGCCGCGTCTTTGATTTTGAAAATTTTGACGCTGACGTTCTAAACGGAATCGAGCCAGTTTTTCCTGTATATAAATGAACCAATGAAGTGAAACCAACTCTCTATGGAACAACAACACGGTCTAGAACGAAGTTGGCCGTGGATGAAACGTTCGACTAGCGTGAGAAAACGAAGTTACTTCCAATCCAATATATATATATACGGTAGAGATAGAGATGTAAAGTGCACATTATTCGAGACACGAGGACAAAAGAAAATTGGTGGATATTTGTAAAGGAACACACGTATCTCGTATAAGTGTTACTCGTATGCCTTGGGACGAAAGGAAAAGGGAGGTTGGGCCAGCACGCTTTGATAATTAAACATTTCCACCGCGGCTCGAGATGTATCGGGAGATAAGCTTCTATCGATCTCCACGATACCGATTTACCCGATCATCACCCTCTTCCCGCTCCTTCTTCTTCTTTTTTTTTTTTTGATTCTTGGAGAAGAAGCGAATAATTTTCCATCTCGTTGTTTTCCTTTTCCTGTTTCTCGAATTAAGAATACGCGAAGACGAGGCAATTGTTCGACGATTCTCTTTAAATATTGTTGTTGTTGCTTGCCTTCAAACTTCTCGTCTCAATAATCCGGATGGTTGACACCGGTGATTTCAACGCGCGCAAGGACACGGCCGCCGCTCGAAATGCCAGCCTCGTTTCTTTTCCCCCGATTCTTGTCGATCACCGCCAGACTGCGCTGCTGTCTCCTCTTTTTTTCCTCCGAATTTTTACAAATCGCCTTATGCAATTTTATTGGATTAAGCTTCGAACAGATCTATCGGTACGCTCGATCGCGTGAGAAAGGGGCTGGTTTATCGATCGTCGAGTTTATCGATTACACCGATTCCGCGAAGGTGAGCAGGTCGGTTCTCAGCGTGTCGGTTTCGAAACGGAAAGGAATCGGTTTGGATCATCGGTTTTCAACCCGCTTCGCTTCCCCTCCTCGCGAGCTAATAAAACGAGGCTGAATAACTGCCTGGAGCAAGCAGGCTGATTAATTAGCCCCTTTCGAGCGGAAATCGAACGAGTTTGGAGGAGACGATCCTCTTTGATCGATCGATTTTCCGCTTCTCTGTCCATTTAGACGATTCGTTTCTCGATAGGTTTGTTCTCAGTTTCGATACCCTTGGAACAATCCTTTCGTTCGCTCACCGAATTTTCTTTCTTTCGTCGAAAGAATCTTTCGATTCG